GGGGGGTTCGTTACCCATAGGTTGCCCACGGCCGCGACCTCGTGCACGCACCATTGATGTTGAAGGATGTTCTTCCTTTATTCGTCGAATTGAGCTCTGATACCAATTGACGCCGAATTAAATCAAGGCGTAGGGCTAGAACGAGAAGAACAACGAAAGAAAGGGAATGATTGAAACGCTAGGGGAAGAGTTCCGCTCTAGGTGTATGAAATATTCTCAAATAATGATAGTCTGAATGAAATATGCCCACAAGCCGGGCTATAAATAGCTGAAAAACGAAGGGAGTGAAACCCTAAAAGATGGAAGACAAAACGGGCCTAAGAATAAAAATAAATGGGCTAACTAAAAGATAGGCCGAAGGCCCAAAGACACAAAAATTGAAAAATGAAGGCCTTAACAAGGAGTTCACGTCAGTCTGGATCCTCTCTTGCATCAAATATACAGCATTTAGTCCACGTATTTGGTGATTAATTTAATGTAACACCCATGTTTTAATGTTTTTTTAACAACTAACGTTTCCTTGGCTTATAGTCATGTTCTACCACCCATGCTAGAGAAACTGCTCCAAGAATGTTGGAAGATTCAAGTGGCTGGTTTGATGATCAAGATCTGTGCAAGCTTGCAATAGTGTTGATAGAAACGTTCAGCGCATCAAGACAAGAAATGCTATTCATGAAAGCAATCCTTTCAAGTTCTCTTGCACTAGACAAACTTGTCATCAAAGAATCATCTAATATAGATGCCTCTGTGGCTTTCAAATTTCCAAGGGAGTTGCTCAGCTTCCGGCGCGCATCTCCAAAAGCACAAATTATCTTCGATGGACGCTGAACAGACCAATCCTAGCCTAGTTAGTTGATCTACTCGCTCACTCTTACAAATTTGATGCTACATGTATGTCACTCGTTTGTTAGTCTATTCGATAAGCCTGATTGTGCAAAATGAGCATCTTGTTTTGAGCAAGGAGGAGTTCTTTGTTTTTAATTAATTATTTTACCATCTTTTGTAAAGGAAAGACAGAGCATTTCCACTTTCCAATATTGTTTTGAGGAATTGACAAACTCACTTGTTTCTTAGCTTGGATGAATCGACATGAACCCTAATCAGAAATCAAAGTTTGATATTCAAATGAGCTAAAAAAATGTTCTTGAAACATGAATGCGTTCTATATATGTTCTGAATCAATATTAGCTTCGGTCAAAATGTTCTAGGGGGCCTTCAGATTGAAATGTGAAATTTCTGGTAAAGAAAACAAGTGTGGAAGAAAAGGACTAAAGAATGAGAACATTAGCCAAGCTTTCTAACCTTTTTCAAGTCATTCTTTTCCTTTAGCTTCCATTGTACTCTTTCATTTCTTTAATGTGTTCTTTGGACCTAATAAAAGTGATTCCATTAGTCATCTGGAATATATAAATATCCGCATTATGCACTACAGGTAGCACTAACGGTGGTGATACGAGGTGTAACTCCTCCACCAAGACTAAGAAGGGGCGACACCGAACCAAGAGCGGTGGAACTCATGGCGACACTTTAACTACTAATAGGAACACTACTGAATAGCTACTCTTTTAGTTTCTTGATAATTTTTATTTAATTACGTGTTTTCATTCGTAATTCGATATACAAGATAATTATGTCATCTCTTTTTTGTGTAGAATCTTTGATGTAGTATTTAAATTTATAAGCTTCATTTTAAATTTTAATGATAATTTTTAAATAAAATGATTTTAATAAGTATGGGGTTTTGCATGATAATTATGGAGTACATGTGAGAGACTCCTAATATAACTAGAAATAAAGAATAGAAACTAACTAAAATAAAATATCTACCATAAATAGGAATATGAAGCTGACTAATGATCAATCACTAGTAGAAGTAATAATAATATTATTATTATTATTATCTAATATCCCTCAAGATGAACTCTGCCTGAAGCTAGGGGTGGGCACGGATCGGGACGGTTCGGTTTTAGGTTGTCCCACGTCTTGTCCTGTTATATATAAACGGTCCGGAACGGTTCGGATTACAATCTCATCCCGGTTTGTCCCATAAAATTTGGGATCGGAATAAAACGGGATGGATTCGGGTCGTCCTACTTTGTCCTAATCGCAAATATAAAAAGGGGAAGAGGATGAAATTTCATTCAAAAAAAAAGAAACATCTAGCCTTCCAACAAAAAACAATGAGTGAAACGGGTCCAAATAAATTTCAAGCTCATGAAATTAATTTAATTAAATAACTAATTAATTAAAGAATGAGTGTATTTGGATTTTGGACTAGAATTAGTATTATATATTAGTAGAGTATATGAAACGGGACAAACGAGACGGATCGGTATAAATTTAAGCTGTCCCGTTCATGTCTCATTTGATATTGGGACAGAACGGGTTCGGGACCAGAAAAATGTGTCCCAATATAGGGAAAATCTCAATATGCACCCTAAAAAGTTAACAAAAAAGTAATATGCACCCTCACTTTTCTCAAATTTCATAGCGCACCCTCAGAAATTATAATAGCTTCCATTAAACCTTCCATCATCCCATTTTAACCATTGACGTTAACTGCTATAGTAATATTAGTGCCTTTTTAGCCTCTTCTAACATACTATTACATACGAAATGGAGTAAAGCATATGTTATTGAGTCTATTCCCAAACAGTCTCTGTATGTAAGGCCCTATTGGCACCCACCATCAGCCTCCATCTCAGCCAACCTCTGCAAATGCCATAAACTCCGGCATCCATAAGCTGCTTCTGGAAATCCTTACTGCCTCCAGCCACGACCCTGCACTGAGAACTTTTTGGACACCTGTCGGGCTTAGCGGACTGCATCAACTTCACAAGCCCATTTCAAATTCGCTCTTGTTCGTTTCACCGATGGGTAATAACCGCCGGAAGAATTTGACAGGCCCGGAACGGAGCTATTTATAGGAATGTCAAAACATACAACTGAGAGAGCTATTTATAGGAATGTCTAGTTGGTTAGAGTTGCAACTGCTGTAACAAACCTGCTAACAGCCTCTAACTAACTTCCCTTAAGCTAATCTCCCTATAACAGGTAACTGACATTCTCATGCTCCGTTCCGGGCCTGTCAAGACATTTAAGCTTGTGATTTCAAAACCTGGTCCGCACCCGCTGCAGTTTGATTTAGAACTTTGGTGTCGTTATCTGTCAAGAAATGGCATTGAGGATCTTCACCTCGCCAGCCCGACTGCTGATGACAATGTAGAAGAGCCTCGGTATAAACTCCCGTTTTGTATATTCTCTTGCCCAACAATAAAGCGGTTGAAACTTGAAGGTTTCAATTTTGATTGCCCGGCCAATGCTCAACTCAGTAGTGTATTTTCTGGCCTTACCTCTTTAGAATTGACGGACTGCGTGGTCTCTATGCATCATGCCAATGGAATTGTTGCCCCTTATGTTCCTAATCTCGAGAAGCTGGTTTTCCTTCGCCGTGATGGGTGGGAAGATTTTTTTATGAGTGTTCAACCATTTAGTATCCTCCTTTTGAGGGTTGAATCCACTCAGACTGGCTCAAAATGGGTTGAGTCTCATTTTCAAACCATTAAGACTCTTCACTTGTATGCAGAATATCTTTTGGTGGTGAGATTCTTTTCTTCCATGAAACGTCGATTCATGTTGTGATTAGAGACAAATCGGACAGTAAACATCATTTCGGTTGAATGAAATGTCTCATTTTTCTCTCTTTCAAGCATACATATCCAGGTGTAGCCGTTCATTCCTTCTCAANCCATTTAGTATCCTCCTTTTGAGGGTTGAATCCACTCAGACTGGCTCAAAATGGGTTGAGTCTCATTTTCAAACCATTAAGACTCTTCACTTGTATGCAGAATATCTTTTGGTGGTGAGATTCTTTTCTTCCATGAAACGTCGATTCATGTTGTGATTAGAGACAAATCGGACAGTAAACATCATTTCGGTTGAATGAAATGTCTCATTTTTCTCTCTTTCAAGCATACATATCCAGGTGTAGCCGTTCATTCCTTCTCAACTGCAATGAATCTCCAAGTGCTCTATCTGTATGAATTCAGTTTTTCGGAGGAGGGTGCTTTAACTACTTTAATTCAACTCCTTAAAAAATGCCCAACTCTGCGTGTACTGAAATTCTTGTCGAGAGATAAGGTTGTAATATGCATCATTTAATTGAGTATATGGTGATTAATGTAACACCCATGTTTTAACTTTTTCTTTTACTAATATTTCTTTGTTTTATAGACACGTTTTGCGTATGCCAGAGAAGCTTCTCCAAGAATGTTGGAAGATTCAAGTGGTCGGTTGAATGGTCAGGATTTGTGCAAGCTTCAAACTGTGGAGATAGGACCTTTCAGGGGATCAAGACAGGAAATGTTCTTTGTGAAAGCGATCATTTCGAATTCCCCCGCACTTGAGAAACTTGTGATTATGGAAGCAAATGACATTGGTGCCCCTGCGGCTTTCAAATTTCCAAGGGAGTTGCTCTGTGTCCCTCGCGCATCAACAAAAGCAAAAATTGTCTTCAAGGACACCAAGCCTACCGTTACCAGCCTGGTTCGTTGATTTACTCCCTAACTCTTACAAATGCACCGCTCCATTCTAGCCGTTACTGCTTTCTTATTAAAAACTGAGTACAAAATAAATGGGTTGAAAAGTGAGGGGTTTCGGACGGAAAAAAAGAAGGAAAACGTAATAGTGTCTATATCATATGCTTCTGTTTATAATTACCTTGAGAAATAGGTATTAAGGGGCTGTTCTCTAAGACTTCATTTTCACTAGAGTTGAAAACTGTATGTTGGAGCTTTAGATCCTCGTGGACAGCTAATGTAGCACTACCAGACTGGTTGGTTGATTTGCTCCCTGACCTATTACAACTTTTGCAGCTTCATATCAGTCACTGGTTTATTATTCGATGATGAGCTTGAAATTGGCACAATGTGCAAACCAAATGTCTGTTTTTAGCAATGATTCCCAATGAGCTTTTTTTTCTTTGCTTTCATTTAATCATCTTTCACTCTTCTATTTACAGATTAAAAGCAGAGTATTTCCCCACTTGTTTTGTGTAATTTGACAAAACCACAATTTGTTGCTCTGCAAGGAATTGAAAACCAAAGTATTTTTATGAATAATTCGTTGAGCCCACAAAAACAGCAGTACGCTCTTTCAAGACTCAAATTACAGTTCAACACCAAAGAATAGTCAAAGTCTCCTTTAAGAAAAACTAATGGAAGAAGCCCTAAGAAAAATGAATAATGTAATTGATTGGTCAGTGGTCACACTCCCTTAATGTTCTAACGCAACTAACCCAATTATTGGCTCTCTTAAAGTCATAATTCAACAAACAAGGGTTGACTTGACTCCAAACAAGAGTTGACTTGGCTTCATAATTTTCCTGAAATTCTACATATCTCACACATAAATACATAGATCATCATCATCTTAAAAAAAGCTCAAGACAGATGATGGATTCATCCAGTAATGAAAGCATCACCATATCCATTCTTCACAGTGATCAACCACACCAAAAGCCCTTTCCACCAAATAACCCAAAAACCAAAAAACTCAACACCCTAATCTTCCTTGCTCTTGTTGTTCTAGTGACCACCCTCTTCATAGCAGCTGGCACCATCATCACGTCTTCCTTGCTCTTGTTGTTCTAGTGACCACCCTCTTCATAGCAGCTGGCATCATCATAGCACATGGGTGTTACATTAATCACCATATACATCAATTAAATGATGCATATTACAACCTTATCTCTCGACAAGAATTTCAGTACACGCAGAGTTGGGCATTTTTTAAGGAGTTGAATTAAAGTAGTTAAAGCACCCTCCTCCGAAAAACTGAATTCATACAGATAGAGCACTTGGAGATTCATTGCAGTTGAGAAGGAATGAACGGCTACACCTGGATATGTATGCTTGAAAGAGAGAAAAATGAGACATTTCATTCAACCGAAATGATGTTTACTGTCCGATTTGTCTCTAATCACAACATGAATCGACGTTTCATGGAAGAAAAGAATCTCACCACCAAAAGATATTCTGCATACAAGTGAAGAGTCTTAATGGTTTGAAAATGAGACTCAACCCATTTTGAGCCAGTCTGAGTGGNTACAGATAGAGCACTTGGAGATTCATTGCAGTTGAGAAGGAATGAACGGCTACACCTGGATATGTATGCTTGAAAGAGAGAAAAATGAGACATTTCATTCAACCGAAATGATGTTTACTGTCCGATTTGTCTCTAATCACAACATGAATCGACGTTTCATGGAAGAAAAGAATCTCACCACCAAAAGATATTCTGCATACAAGTGAAGAGTCTTAATGGTTTGAAAATGAGACTCAACCCATTTTGAGCCAGTCTGAGTGGTTTTTATCCTTCACATCGAAGGGGTTTTTATCCTTCACATCGAAGCTGGCACCATCATCACGTCTCCCTTGTCCCGTGGTTTTTATCCTTCACATCGAAGGGGTTTTCCACGTATAAAAATCGTGTGTCGTTTGCATCTTTATTCTTCATATTTGATTGTGGTTTATTTGATGTGCTGCTGATTTTGTGTGCTTGGTTAATCAATTGTGGTAAATTGGGTCAAGTGTTTGGTTGGTTGTCTTGAAGTTGATCCTTGTAGATGTCGTATCCTACTTGTTGCGAGCCACGTCCTTAACCGAAGCTCTCGACCGCCACCTCCCGTCGTCGAACGCCAGGTATGAGCCTCCGAGCGCCAGGCTGGCGTTGTCGCGGTGCCGATCATTGGTGCACAACTCGATGAGTCGCGTTAATGAGTCGGCGGGCCTGCTCGGAGTTGACTCGTCGAGCATGGGGGGATTGACTTTTGAGGAGGCGGACGCCATTCGGGTTCGGATGAGATTCGCGGCGAGATGTGTTGGTAAGTGTTTGTTGGGATTGAAGGAGGTTGGTGGTGAGGATGATGAGAAGATGGGAGTTGAGAAAGCACACAAACATATTGTTAATGTAATGTGGTTGTTTAGAAGAAGAGAATCCATACTCCGTGATTTCTATGGTCCTCCTTTGATGATTGAGACTGATCACTACTATAATTACCCTGTTAAGTATAGGTTTTTGGTTTGTATGTATTCTTTGGGGTACTTATTCATTGGCTTTCTTTATTGTGCAATATGGAGAAGCAAATGAGCAGTATTAATTATATATATAGATAAGTTTTTCTACATTACTCGTGTCTCAATGGTTTACTCCTCATGTTTTCAAAAAAAAAGAGAAGAGGTTTACTCATCTTTGATTGCACTAGATTTGTCACCATGCGTTCTTCGTATACCGATCCTATAACGCTGCTTCGCGGCTGTTATTTAGGACTTGGTTTTCACTAGAGTTGAAATTTGTAGCTTGGAGTCTTAGGTTTAACGTTTAAAGTTTAAGATCTTGAAAAATGAGAGGAACGAACTAGTTGTCCAATGTCTTAAGATTAATTAATTAATTCAAAATTCTAAAGTCATAAGCATGAAGTATGGAATCTGTAGTGAAAATAAGACAAGATGATGAGAAGAAACCAAAGAATGAGAGAATATGCTTTATGAGCTTCTCCAAGTCATTTTTTCTTCGAGGAATTGACAAAACTGGCTTGTTACTTACTTGAATTATTGGCTGATGTACATGAACTCTACTCAACACAACTGATATTGGGATATTCAAATCTGAGCCAAACAAAATGTTCTTGAAACAAACATGAATGTGTTCCATGCTTTGAATCAATGTGTCTGAGTTGGTATATGCAATAAGTTTGACACCATGTGTTTCACGAATATGTACGAATTAGTCATTATTTGGGCCGCGAACATACAATCATCATGTATATATATGAAAAACATGGTAGCAAACATTCTTTATTGATGTCTCACTTTGGTCAAAAAATAGTTTAACCCATTAATATATTGTTACTCCGCCCCAAATTAAGTTGTTTATTTACTATTTTCGAGGTCAAACTTTATTCACATTTTTTCCCCTATTTTTGCTATCAATTTGATATAATGATGTAATCGTGTCACTTCTTGTTTCATAGAGCTCGTATATAAGTTTTGAATATGAAAGTTTTATCCTTAAATTTCATTCCAAATCTCAAATAAATTGTATTAAAAATAGAATCGAAACATGCTATTAAATTGGGACGAAGGGAATATTTTAAACCCATGTTTATGTGTGAAATAAGTTACACTCCCTCCGTCTACAATAAATCTTCTCAAATTGAATTTTTTTGTTGTCTCTAAACACTTAAAAAAAAAGGAAAATTTTACTAAATAAATTTGGAAGATCTTTTCTCCACAAACAAAAATGACATTTGAGAAGATATATGACCTCTCTGAGTACAAAAGGCGGTGGGGTCTTTGGCACACAAAAAAAGTGGAATAATATTCAACATGTGAAAGAATATGCTTTGTGAGCTATTCCAAGTCATTCCTTTCCTTTTGCTTCGGACTTTTTCGTTCCTTTAATGTATTTTTTTAGGACCCAAATGAAAGTTAGAGTCGATCCTAAAGTCAAAATTAACTTGTGGGGTGAAATTGAAGTGGGTGGAGGTGTGTTCGGGTCAGAGCGAGGTGGGGAGTTTACCAAGAGAGTTAGGAATAGGACCGTCAATTATACCAACGGGGCACCGAAGCGTCTCCGGTTCATTCCATGACATAGGGTTTCAATGTCACAGAAACCCCACTGATAAAAGTTAATATTCCATAAATTTATAACTTGGCATCTATAAATATCCGATTTCTGCACTATGGGCTTTGCCCAATACCCATTCTACAATAGTAAAATATGCCTTCCTACCGTCGTTCCTACACAACACACTACTTGTCCGACCGAGAGGCTGCCGAGTGGCGTGAATGGGGACGGGATATGGGCGAGTTCGGCCGCGCGGTGGGCGCGAGGGCTCGGACGATGGGTGAGAAGAGGGCTCGGAGAATGTATGGGGACGCGAACATGGTGATATGCATGGGATGATGGTTCAGTACATATCGGAACCTTATGCGTTGGTGACGATGGTACAGTACAAAGACGAAGAAGCATCCACGAACTGATTCGGGTTGTGGAAATATCCTCTCATGGCCGCGGAGGACCGGCGGAACCATCTCCTTCTCTTCTACCACAACAAGAAGAAGAAGAAGTAAGAGAAGTAATAAGAGCTAGAAGAAGAAGAAGTTCATGTACGTATACTGTATACAAATATTTTAAACCACTCAACTATAAGAAGAAAAAGGCAAAAATGTTGAAAATTAAGTCATGAACGAAATCTTTTGTCTAAAAATGTTACTCTGTATTAATATATAATTAACCGTAAGTTAAGAAGACCTTCCTTATTATTCTTTTGGTCCCTACATATAAAAAAAATAAACACTTTTTTATTAACAAAATGAAAATATTTAATTTGACAAATGAAGTAGTATTTGTTAATCTTTTTATTTCAAACAAAACATTTTTTTCAATCTCTAAGTATTTGTTCACTTTTTAGTTTTTCAATCAACATTGGTAAAGTTTGACCTCAAATTCAATAAAAGTAAAATTAAGTATTGATGCAAAAATACTTTTATTATATTTATTATAGAAAATATTTTCAAAAAATTAATTTATTTAATTAATAGATAATATATATTTAGTTTTATTATAAGTCAAAGTTGAAAATAATATTTTTTGAATGAAAAAAGTAAAAAATAGACAATAATTATGGAGTATTTTTTTTGTTTTTTAACTCGCCTAAATTTTTATACAGTCAAAAAAATGTTAATCATTAGGATAAAGCTACTTGTACCCCAAATCATAGTTAGTAATATACGGCAAACGTATAATACGTAAATACGTACGTTCGTGTATTATACGTTAGGATTTTATAAAATACGGCTTACTATGCATATTAAACGTTCGGCATACGGATACGGATATGTACGCGTTTTAAACGTTTTCTATTTTTAAAATATGTCTTATTATATGTTTATATATATTATCAAATATACATCAAATTTACACATATTTATCGATAGATAGTCATCAATTTATATTAGGGTAAATAAAGAAAATACAAAAATATTTTAAATGAAATATTTACAATAGACTTTTTCAAATTAGAATCTCTATTTGAAAAAAATATGTATTTGAAAAATATATATACTCCCGTCATTTGAAAAAAAATATCCTTATTTGACTTTCACATACGTAGTTTAAAAAAATATTAAAAATAAAAACTTTATAGTTTGAATATATTTACAAAAAAACAAATAAGAATTCTGAGTTACTCTTCCTTTCTAAAAGAAAATGAATTTTTGAGACATACAAAAAGAAAAAGTGAAGTTTTTTTTTTGAACGTGACAAAAAAGTGTAAAATTCTTTGTAGAATCTAGATAGTATATATTTTTTCAAATTGATTGAGTGTTGTATCATAACTCATATGAAGTATTACTCGTATTTTGTTTAAATATTTTTTGCAAAAATTTAATATTTGTTGTTGTACAAAAAATTTTATAATGAAATATTCAATTCATACGTACTATACGTAATTATACGTATAATATCAAATATACGTGTATTTTAAAATATTTTTGAAAATCATACGGATACGTAAGTATAATACGCGTATTATACGTACGTAAGTATAATACGTGTATTATACGCGTATTAACTAACTAGGCCCCAAATTTTTGTATCCCATTTGTACACCGCAGGTTTGCACCGACATTTTGTGTCAATGTAAAACTAATTTTTAATAACGCACCAACACTTTGTGTCCGTGAACATTTTTGTTAACGCACCAAAACTTGTGTCGGTGTAAACCATCAAAATGTTTGTACATAACTGCGATGTACAAATGAGGTACAAATTTTGGTGTAAGTGTAGCATGGTCCTAATGATTATCCTTAGGGGCGCCAGGTCACGAAGTCGTATAGAGATAACGAGGAATCTTTGGAATGTACGGAGGAGTATCATCTTTGGAAATGTACCCTCTCTTATTTTTATATTTTTAAATTTCAATGCTTTAAAAAAATTGTATTTTTACACCTGATTTTCATTACAACTCTAATCCCGACCATCTATTTTGCGCCCAATTAGAAAGCGGCCGTCTTTTCTTCACCGGCGATTTCCCATCGTCTCTGTAAGAATTCAATCAAAATCTTCGGTTTCTTCTTCGGCTGAATAATCCGGATCGAAGGCGCCGTGTGAGTTTATCTTCTGATTTCTATCTTTTTCATGATTCAGGTTGATTTGAGCTCGAACCCGATCGTCTCTGGGAATACCGTTTATTTATAAAGATTCAAACTTATATATCGTGAGCCCAATTCCGTATTTGCCTCTCTATTTCGCGCACTGATCTTCTTGTGTCGATTCTTTGACATGTTCGCGTTTGATGATTTCAGTTTATCCGATTTTAGGATTTTCTGATGCGTTGTTATTTAAAGCTTGCGCTTAGGGTTTTGATTGGTTTGTGTCTGAATTCAAACATTTCTCCTTAAAATTGAAGGATGAATCTGGATCTGGAATGCGTTGTATTTCATCTTTGAAATTTACTGCTACTACGTATGATTTTTTCTGGTAGAATTGCGGAATTTCGACATGACTCTAGTTAAGGGAGATTATGTATTGTTTGTGTTACACACATGTAGCCCTGAGATCAATCTTTTTAAATCTAAAGATATTGAAGCTTTATTACTTGTATTAATGATGCGTATATTGAAGGCGTGTTCTTTGTATCTTTGATGGACTTGGTGCGCTCTTGTATAGTTGTATGTCTAACGATCACTGACTAATAGATCTAAATGAACATTTGCAGTTAAGACTGAATGATCTAATGGAGTCCAAAGGGGGAAAGAAGTCTAGTAGTAGTAATAATAGTAATACATCCATATTCTACGATGCTCCCCTTGGCTATAGCATTGAAGACGTCCGACCAAACGGTGGAGTCAAGAGGTTCAGATCTGCTGCGTACTCAAACGTAAGTTCACGACGACCCTCCTTGTTGAACGACACTTTTGTTTTCGTTTTACATATGGATAACTATTTAGATAATATTCACATCTATTTATTTTTGTTTAATTCTTTTGTGCAGTGCGCTCGCAGGCCATCCTGATATTTATTAACTGGTGCTTGGCTCACGTTTTTTTGACGTGGTGCAACTTAAACTACTTGCTGTTCTGTTTTCTTTAAAAAGTTAATACAAAAACCCGTCTTTCCTTTCACCTTTACGCTTATATATTTTTCTCCCATTTTGGTTTTCATTGAAACTGTTTCTGGCTTCAAAAACTGCATTCTTTTGGAAATGGCCATGTCGGTCTCTGCAATTGGTTTCGAAGGGTATGAGAAGAGGCTTGAAATTTCTTTCTTCTCACCCAGCATCTTTGCCGATGCTGAAGGGAAAGGCCTTCGATCCCTTTCCAGAACCCAGTTAGACGAGTTCTTGGGACCTGCCGAGTGCACAATAGTTTCTTCGCTGTCGAATGAGTTTGTGGACTCTTACGTCCTCTCTGAATCAAGCCTCTTCATCTATCCCCACAAAATAGTCATCAAAACATGTGGAACCACCAAACTGCTCCTATCAATCCCTCCCATCTTGAAGTTGTCTGGGTCACTCTCTCTTGAAGTACAATCCGTGAGGTACACCCGCGGGAGCTTCATCTTCCCAGAGGCTCAGCCATCTCCTCACCGTTTCTTCTCAGAAGAAGTTGCCATTCTAAATGGCTTTTTCGGAAATCTCAGCTCAGGAAGTGAGGCTTATATCTTGGGAAGTTCTAACAAACCACAGAAATGGCACGTGTACTTCGCTTCAGCTTCTTCTACTACTGTCCAGTCCCAGAAGAATGCTGCTTACACACTGGAAATGTGTATGACTGGTTTGGAGAAGAAAAAGGCTTCTGTGTTTTACAAACATGATTCCAGCTCAGCAGCGATCATGACCGTTGAATCTGGAATCAGGAAGATACTTCCACAGCTCCGAAATTTGCGCTTTTGAGTTTGACCCTTGTGGTTACTCAATGAATTCTATTGAAGGAACAGCCCACTCCACCATCCACGTCACTCCAGAAGACGGATTTAGCTATGCTAGCTTTGAAGCTTCTGGGTATGACCTCAGAGCTATGAATCTTGGGGCATTGATCAAGAGGGTGTTGGCGTGTTTCATGCCGAGAGTGTTTTCCATTGCTGTCCATGCTGACGTGGCAACAAAGGCGCTGGAATCTGTTTGCTCGGTGGACTTGAACGGATACTTTCTTGGCGAGAGGTGCAAGGCCGAGTTTGGGAGTGGTGGATCCATTGTTTACCAGAAGTTTGTGAGGAATTATGCTTACCGTTCGACCAGGCCTGTTCTGAAAGGCTGCTCTTTGTGAAGAAGCTAGGAAGAAGAAGAGTGGTACTTTGCGTTGTTTTCGCGGTACTCTCCTTTTGTTATCTCTGTTCTGTCTATATTACTGTCAGTATATTTCGATGGTTTGTTGTTTGTTCGCACATAACCTACTTTTTAAGGGGTTGTCCTGAATAATGGGGGCTGGATATTCCCTACATATGTTGTACTCTACTGTACTGTAATATATTACATAAAAAATGATGTTTTGTATTACTATTATTGTTGTTGTTGTTGTTTAAGGTGTTCAGTACTATTACTACTATGTCTCAAACCATTGGATGTTTGCCCGAGAACTGGGGCAAAGCGAATTTTTTAAACAAAACTTGTTTAAAAAAAGATTGAAATTTTTTCAACATTTCTATTTTTATGAGGCTTTTTTTATACATCACTTTTATGAGAGTAATTCTTTTTTACACTTGAGGAATGTAAAAATTAAAATGGGAGAGACAATGTGTGGGGTAAGACTTAAGAGAAGGAATGGCTGGTAGATGGGATGCTTTTACTGCATGCTTTGTGTTCACATACAATTCTCTCTATAAATGGGCAAAATCCAAAAGAATTCATCACTGTGACATTTCTTTTGATGCTGGGTTGTGTAGCAGTGACGTCCACGAAAGCCTACATGGGTTGCAAAATTGTGGACTGTGTTTTTTTCCACCATATTTTTAATTTTTTATTAAAAAAAATAGGGGTACACTAATATTTATGCACTAATTGTATATCACATTTGTGCAGTCACAATCAATTGTTGTGTGTGTGTGTCCAAAAAACATGGTGTACAATTGATGTACAAATGTTGATACACCCCTAGCGAAATTCTGTTTTTATAAAAAAGAAATTATCCTAAATAGGAGTAAAACATAGAGAAAGTATCAAAATAGGACATCCATCTTTTTATTCCTCAAATAGGAGTTCCTAGTGTGGTAATGTGGCATTGTACATGTGTGCATTTTACTATATTTTTCGGTAATGTACATCGTCATGATTGGTAATATAAATGCATTTCAACTTCTATTTGGGGAAAAAAAATATGGAACACCTATTTTAATATATTTTTAATATTTTACTCATACTTTAGTCTTTTTTCCTTTATAAAAAGTTTGAGAAACTAGAATTTTGTACTCCCTTCGTCCTAAAACGTTCTTCTCACTTTTCCTTTTTCCCCATCCTAAAACTATCTTCCCACCACACTAACTCCACATTTACGCCACAACCTTATCTCTACTCCTGGACTCTTCGCCTCATCTCTCTAAACTTAGATCTAGATCTTCGCTGTTTGTCTCTCCATCTCGCCGTTTTTGCATCTCTCCTCTTCGCCAGCTCTGTGTCTCTCCTCCTCGCCCCTCTCCGTCTCACCCTCTATTCGTGTCTGTGTAAATTTCTTCTCCCACAAAACCCTAGATCTAATCTTCATCTCCAACCTTGATATGGATTCTCAGATTTCTGAGATTCAGTTACTAGTTGAATATCAAATCTCTGAGTATTATCAAGGGATGAAGCCCGAAGATGAGAGGTTTGAGAACAGAGAGAGAGAATATCGATTCATTACACAGTGAGGACAGAGAGAGTGAGTCCTCTGAGACCAGCTCTGAAGTTGGCATAGTCATTGCTGACAGCGAATACAAGAAAAGTGAGATGGAGGATGAGCAGATGCGAAGCTTTGGGAGCAAATTGGATGAAGAGCAGCCAGGTCTTGAGATGGGCAGCCACTCCAGTCTCCCGGAAGAAGGGGTTGGCGTGGCTCAAGCAATTCCAGGCTTGCTTTCTCATCGGGAGTGGAAAGTGAAGTTACTCTTTCTTTATTATTTGCATTTTAATGGGTAGTTGCACACACTTATACTACATACACAACGATGATGAATATGTGATTAACTTGTCTAGGTCAAGTAGTTCATTAAGGTACATAATGTGAGTGGTAGTAAAAGAAAACCCACTGGAGTACATTTCGAGTGGTTGCCTTGATGTTGAAAAAAAAAGTTAAGGTCTTACTAACCTACTCTTCATTACTTACATATTGCATATACAAAATTCAAAAGCCAAAAACATGTACCCAGGCATTCACAAAAATTAAACCTTGGTGTTATGAAACACACTCAGTTCATTTCTAAAGATGAGAACTCTTCTCCATCTTCACTCATGAACTGAGGCAATACTTGCTCTTCATTTTGCACAGATCTATTGGTCAGCACCCTTACTGTCTTCTCCAATAGTGTTTAGGGTACATTTAGAGTCACTGGCAGTGTTCCTTCTCTAACTAATCTGTCCTTTGCCATATGTGGTAGCTTGCACTTGTTTCCTCCATCATTATTCATTACTTCCTGCATCACATGTTGGTAGCTCAACCATACTTTGTTCAATGTTTGTGGAGTAAGTGCTGCATATGCACCCTTAACTGTCTCAACTAGCTCTGCCACATTTTTAGGAACAGTTTTCTCTTTCAGTGATTGGATGACTCTAAAAAACTCAAGTCTAGAATGTTGAGGTCTGTGGAGTTAGGGGGTTGGTTAGTTAGGATGATGTTGAAGCCATTCACACTTGCTGCTGCCATAAACTCTGGATCTATGGCAGAAATGTGTGGCTTTGCATTATCTTGCTGGGATCCAAGAAAGAAGGCCACTTCTCCCTAATTGCAGGGATAACTTGGTTCACCAGCATATCTTTAGTCACTTCTTTGGTGACACTCAGAAGTTGTTTCACTTCTAATACCCCTGCCTCCCTGTTTTTACTCTTTCTTTTAGCAGCCAGAGTTTCAACAAAAGGAAATATTCCAATTTTTCCATCCCATAAAATCTCTCCATTCTGTGATATGAATGGTTTACCAACAACACATAAGAACATGACCTTAGTAATGAAGTGCTTAGACTTGCATGTTCTGTAACACCCCAACCCGCATGACCCAAACCCGTGAGACAACGGACCGGTGTGTCACTGAATTGGTATCCGAATTTGCGACATTTTCAAAACAATTTTAAACAAACGTTCTATCAATACATATAAAAATTCATCGGAGTAATTTAAGATAATGCGGAAGCCTTTTTAAAGTCAAACAACTTGGGATCTTGCCCGAAAACGTAATAAGCGTTAAAGTTAATTAAATAAAGCATATCAGCAGATTAAAGAGACAGCCACGCCATCATACATCTCCTCCTCAATGCCTTCTGGGATCGGCTCTAGGTTCATCTGTCTGATCACCTACGGATAGCAAAAAGGAAAACAACGCTATCCGCTCAGCATTGACGCTGAGTGGTACTCCATTGTAGCACAAGAATAAACATAATAATTCAACAATTAAGATCGTGCATATGTTTATCCTTTTAATAAAAATCAATTCAACTTTACATTCGGTTCTTTAGACGGTTGACCAACAGTCAACTTATTTTCTTTCTTTTCAAAACGATTTAGGTGTTACGGGTTTCCATTTAACTCTTTGACCACCGGTCAAACCAATTTAGACTTTCACCGAAGTCAAACCAATTTAACATTTATTCCCTATGACGGAGATAGCCTCAATCCGTAATACCGAAGATGGCCTCAATTCGGTGGAGGTAGGATCCCTCGGGCGATGGCCTCAAACCCAAGATCGCAGACCCTCGTGCGCACGTCTTA